AGAGAATTAAGATGCTTTAGAGGCTTAGGGAGTTAAGTGTTGAGTTCTTAACCAAAAGGTTGGTGGTTTGACTCCACCAGCATCTCTAAAGGAACAATATGGCCAGTCTTTCCCTATAAAGATTTCTGTCCTCAAAGACTCAGTGAGAGCTGCTGTGAGTTGGGATGTACTCACTGATCAAGGATTTGACATGGTTTATTTAAGAAATTACATGACTAGAGAGCACATTTGATTAATGACAACTTGTCCCTGCTTTCAACAAGGAAATCTGAACAATATGACACTGTATCGTGTACCACTAAATCTGCTGTCTAGTCCATTCCGACTTGTCATGATCCTGTGCGACGGAGTAGAACTGCCCTGGAGGGTTTCCCAGACTGTAAATCTTTACGGACCTAGACTGCTACACCTTACTCCCAGGGAGCAGTCGCTGGGCTCAAACCACCAACTTTTCAGTTAGTGGCTGAGTGCTTACTCACTGTGCCACCAGTGATCCTTAACCACACAATGAGGCCCTTAACCACACAACGTGACCCTCTGCTGCTCAGAGGACTGTGACTCACACAGTTGCTCGAGGTTCTCAGAGGCTAGAAATCTTTATGGAGGCTGATGACATCTTTGTCCTGCAGATAGCATGGTGGGGTCAAACTGCTGGTCTCTTGACTAGCAGCTAAATGCTTGAAACACTGAACCACTAGAATTCCCAATTTTACCATCATTGTTGTTGTTATGGACCATTGAGTCACCTGCAACTCAAAGCGACCCTATGTACAACAGCTCTGAACCCTGCCCTGTCCTGAGCCAGTCTTCCTGACTCTGACACACCTATCCCCCATTGCCCCAGTTACTGTGTCAGTCCATCTCATCCGGAGTCTTCCTTTCTTGCATTGTCCCTCCACCCTTTCAAGCATGATGTCCTTCTCCAAGGACTGGTCTCTCCTGGCCATGTGCCCAAAGTATGTGAGACGGAGCTTCAAAATCCTAGCCTCCAAGGAGACTTGGTTTCATCCTCTCTGGGACAGACGTATTTGTTTTCTTGGCAGTCTGTGGAATAATTATACCATCAGATAATAAATATATGGCCTTC